GTCGAGTATGCATCAAATTTCAGAAAATCTTGTTTTGGGCCTTTATTTGAAGCCCCAATAATCATAAAGTCCCGCTTTGTTCCCTTCAACTTTTATATATAATACTTTTCACTCTTGGTACTATTCAAAATTACTGTTAAAAGTTGTCGGCACTTTGCGGATCATATTCGAATTCGGCATCGAATCATTGAGTTCGCACGAAATACAGCAAAATCTGATTTTTCGTCAATTTTTGAAAGGCCATATTTTTTTAATTTTGTTCCGCTGTTGATCATACTTTGGTGTTAGACACTTGACTTGTACATGTCATCGAAATCGTTGTCAAAAGTTGTCGGCAAATAAAGCAACATGTTCGAATTTGGCCTCGATGTATCGAGTTCGCATCAAATTTCGGAAAATCTTGTTTTTGGCCTGTATTTGAAGCCCCATAAATCATAAAGTCCCGCTTTGTTCCCTTCAACTTTTATATATAATACTTTTCACGATTGGTACTATTCAAAATTACTGTTAAAAGTTGTCGGCACTTTGCGGATCATATTCGAATTCGGCATCGAATCATTGAGTTCGCTCGAAATACAGCAAAATCTGATTTTTTGTCAATTTTTGAAGGGCCATATTCTGTTAAGTTTTGTTCTGCTGTTAATCATACTTTGGTGTTAGACACTTGACTTATACATGTGATCGAAATCGTTGTCAAAAGTTGTCGGCATATAAATCAACACATTCGAATTCGGCCTCGATGTATCGAGTTCGCATCAAATTTCGGAAAATCTTGTTTTTGGCCCGTATTTGAAGCCCCGTAAATCATGAAGTCCCGCTTTGTTCCCTTCAACTTTTATACATAATACTTTTCACTATTGGTTCTACACAAAATTACTGTTAAAAGTTGTCGGCACTTTGCGGATCATATTCGAATTCGGCATCGAATCATTGAGTTCGCTCGAAATACAGCAAAATCTGATTTTTTGTCAATTTTTGAAGGGCCATATTTTGTTAAGTTTTGTTCCGCTGTTAATCATACTTTGGTGTTAGACACTTGACTTGTACATGTCATCGAAATCGTTGTCAAAAGTTGTCGGCAAATAAAGCAACATGTTCGAAATTGGCCTCGATGTATCGAGTTCGCATCAAATTTCGGAAAATCTTGTTTTTGGCCTGTATTTGAAGCCCGATAAATCATAAAGTCACGCTTTGTTCCCTTCAACTTTTATATATAATACTTTTCACTATTGCTATCATTCAAAATTACTGTTAAAAGTTGTCGGCACTTTGCGGATCATATTCGAATTCGGCATCGATATGTCGAGTACGCATCAAATTTCAGAAAATCTTGTTTTGGGCCTTTATTTGAAGCCCCAATAATCATAAAGTCCCGCTTTGTTCCCTTCAACTTTTTTATATAATACTTTTCACTATTGGTACTATTCAAAATTACTGTTAAAAATTGTCGGCACTTTGCGGATCATATTCGAATTCGGCATCGAATCATTGAGTTCGCACGAAATACAGCAAAATCTGATTTTTCGTCAATTTTTGAAGGGCCATATTTTTTTAAGTTTTGTTCCGCTGTTGATCATACTTTGGTGTTAGACACTTTACTTGTACATGTGATCGAAATCGTTGTCAAAAATTGTCGGCATATAAAACAACATATTCGAATTCGGCCTCGATGTATCGAGTTCGCATCAAATTTCGGAAAATCTTGTTTTTGGCCCGTATTTGAAGCCCCATAAATCATAAAGTCCCGCTTTGTCCCTTCAACTTTTATATATAATACTTTTCACTATTGGTACTATTCAAAATTACTGTTAAAAGTTGTCGGCACTTTGCGGATCATATTCGAATTCGGCATCGAATCATTGAGTTCGCACGAAATACAGCAAAATCTGATTTTTCGTCAATTTTTGATGGGCCATATTTTTTTAAGTTTTGTTCCGCTGTTGATCATACTTTGGTGTTAGACACTTGACTTGTACATGTGATCGAAATCGTTGTCAAAAGTTGTCGGCATATAAAACAACATATTCGAGTTCGGCCTCGATGTATCGAGTTCTCATCAAATTTCGGAAAATCTTGTTTTTGGCCCGTATTTGAAGCCCCATAAATCATAAAGTCCCGCTTTGTTCCCTTCAACTTTTATATATAATACTTTTCACTATTGGTACTATTCAAAATTACTGTTAAAAGTTGTTGGCACTTTGCGGATCATATTCGAATTCGGCATCGAATCATTGAGTTCGCTTGAAATACAGCAAAATCTGATTTTTTTGTCAATTTTTGAAGGGCCATATTCTGTTAAGTTTTGTTCCGCTGTTAATCATACTTTGGTGTTAGACACTTGACTTATACATGTGATCGAAATCGTTGTCAAAAGTTGTCGGCATATAAAGCAACACATTCGAATTCGGCCTCGATGTATCGAGTTCGCATCAAATTTCGGAAAATCTTGTTTTTGGCCCGTATTTGAAGCCCCATGAATCATAAAGTCCCGCTTTGTTCCCTTCAACTTTTATATATAATACTTTTCACTATTGGTACTATACAAAATTACTGTTAAAAATTGTCGGCACTTTGCGGATCATATTCGAATTCGGCATCGAATTATTGAGTTCGCTCGAAATACAGCAAAATCTGATTTTTTGTCAATTTTTGAAGGGCCATATTTTGTTAAGTTTTGTTCCGCTGTTAATCATACTTTGGTGTTAGACACTTGACTTGTACATGTCATCGAAATCGTTGTCAAAAGTTGTCGGCAAATAAAGCAACATGTTCGAATTTGGCCTCGATGTATCGAGTTCGCATCAAATTTCGGAAAATCTTGTTTTTGGCCTGTATTTAAAGCCCCATAAATCATAAAGTCACGCTTTGTTCCCTTCAACTTTTATATATAATACTTTTCACTATTGGTATCATTCAAAATTACTGTTAAAAGTTGTCGGCACTTTGCGGATCATATTCGAATTCGGCATCGATATGTCGAGTACGCATCAAATTTCAGAAAATCTTGTTTTGGGCCTTTATTTGAAGCCCCAATAATCATAAAGTCCCGCTTTGTTCCCTTCAACTTTTATATATAATACTTTTCACTATTGGTACTATTCAAAATTACTGTTAAAAGTTGTCGGCACTTTGCGGATCATATTCGAATACGGCATCGAATCATTGAGTTCGCATGAAATACAGCAAAATCTGATTTTTCGTCAATTTTTGAAGGGCCATATTTTTTTAAGTTTTGTTCCGCTGTTGATCATACTTTGGTGTTAGACACTTGACTTGTACATGTGATCGAAATCGTTGTCAAAAGTTGTCGGCATATAAAACAACATATTCGAATTCGGCCTCGATGTATCGAGTTCGCATCAAATTTTGGAAAATCTTGTTTTTGACCCGTATTTGAAGCCCCATAAATCATAAAGTCCCGCTTTGTTCCCTTCAACTTTTATATATAATACTTTTCACTATTGGTACTATTCAAAATTACTGTTAAAAGTTGTCGGCACTTTGCGGATCATATTCGAATTCGGCATCGAATCATTGAGTTCGTACGAAATATAGCAAAATTTGATTTTTCGTCAATTTTTGAAGGGCCATATTTTTTTAAGTTTTGTTCCGCTGTTGATCATACTTCGGTGTTAGACACTTGACTTGTACATGTGATCGAAATCGTTGTCAAAAGTTGTCGGCATATAAAGCAACATATTCGAATTTGGCCTCGATATACCGAGTACGCATCAAATTTCAGAAAATCTTGTTTTTCGCCTGTATTTGAAACCCCATAAATCATAAAGTCCCGCTTTGTTCCCTTCAATTTTATATATAATACCTTTGTGTTCCCATCAAATGTAGCATATTTTTATTTTGTATTTTTTTTCATTCTGCAATTATATTCTAATACGTTTTAGTTTTTCTGTTTTATATGATATACAGTTATGTATGTTGTAATTTCCACTACCAGCTAAATGTGATTAAACTTATATTTTGGTCCGAGTTGTTTCCTTCGGAACATATTATTCCAAATAGGATCCATTTATCCCTTATAAATATTGTAATAAGAGATTTTTTCCGCATGGGAACCGGTTGAAAACTGCAGAATATTTTTCCGCTGTAATTCCGCTGAATTCACAGTGGTACTATTACGGCCGCTGTTCACGATGCTACGAATCTAACAGTCTATTTAACCCTTTTGTCGCAGACTCGCAGTCGTATGTTACGCCGTGTAGGTATGACCGTCGTTTAACTCACTGCTGCACTCACTGAAACCTGGAGACCCCAAGAAACTGTCCAACATGATGTTTTGATGTTACTTCCAAATCGTGTTAAAATGACAGGATGAAATAGATGTTATAAAGCGTTCCAAAATAGTGTCTCAATGAACTGATGAAGTGTTCCAATATAAAGTTTCAATAAATTGAAGAAGTGTGTAAACTGCAATTAAAATAAGAGTAAAACTTATAAGCAAAACACAATAGTGATAACCTAAAAAGTACCAGAGACATTGGCAAAATACAGTATAGGCTACCGGTACTTGATCACACGATAAAGAAGGCATGAATAACTTATGAATAAAGAGCAGACAATAACTTGTCCACACAGTGTTTTACTTTTTCTATATTAATATGAATTTGCAATGAAAATCATATATTAAGCAAGTAGGAACACTCAGCAAATGAATTCCTAAATACAGAAATATCTTCACATAAAATATGACTTACCGATTTTTTCGGCTAATAATATCACAAACAAGCAGGTACTTCAATATTTAACATTTAAACAATCAAAAGAATAATATATTAGACCAAATCAGAGAAGCACAAACCCTGTCAGCCTGTTCAACAAAATCCTGAAAATGGCGCAACCACGAGACAAACTTGCGCAACAATCTAAAGTACCACAATGAGGCGACAAAGGGCAATAAATAAAATGACGGCTGAGCCATCATTTACATGGCTCCCCTAGAAATGCTATTTCTATACTAAAATAAATTACAATCTTCACAATGTCTATTTCTGGCTCCCTCGCCGGGAATCTTCTCCCGTATCTCCACTCTCCAAGAAAAGAATCAACTTTTGGATTGGACGATCAAGAAAGAGAACATCCTTTTTACGCGTTCCTCTCTCATCGAGTGTTGAATCTCCTACGAGAACTCGAACTCTTCGAACATGACCATCTGCATCGGTATAGACATCAACAACTCTCGCCATCTTCCACTGATTTCTTGATGTATTTTTGTCAACGACTATGACAATATCACCAATTTTGAGGTCACGTTGAACTTTGTTCCGCTTTTGACGAACTTGGAGTGATTGTAAATATTCTTTACGAAATCGAATCCAAAATTCATTGGCTAAATGCTGTACTCTCCTCCATCTTTTACGCGAGTACAAATCTTCCCTTCCAAATACACCTGGTGGTGGTAATACAAGTCTTGTCTTCGCAGTCAACAAATGATTAGGCGTCAGAGGCAGTGGTGAATCAGGACATGACAAATTATCCACAACTAGAGGACGTCCATTGACAACTGCTTCAGCCTCTGCCATCAGAGTGCGAAGAGAATCCTCATCTAGTTGCCTTCCATTCTTTTCCAGGATGGATGAAAGAACTGCTCTTATACTACGAAATTGACGTTCCCAAACGCCTCCCTGGTAACTTGCGGCGCTAACATTGAACTTGAATGGGAAATAATCACAATTTTCTTTAAGTAAAACTTCTTGAATTTTTTAATGATTCATTGCCTGTAGACCCTCTCTTAATTCTCTTGATGCTCCAACCATGTTTGTTCCACGGTCACATCTCAGTTGTCTGATTGATCCATTTCTGCAAATAAATCTTCTTAGAGCATTTATGAAGCTGTCGGTTTCTAAACTTGGGGCGATTTCAACACGAACAGCACGCGATGCCATACATGTAAATAAAACTCCATATCTCTTGAGTTCTCTCCTCCCTTTATTGATAATGAAGGGGCCAAATAAATCTGTAGCACAAAATGAAAAACATGGACTGTCATCCGTTTTGTCTTTTGGTAAATCAGCCATTTCCTGTTCTTGAAACGTTCCTCTAAGTCTCCTACATTTTGTGCAGTGATGTATGAAACTTGAGACAGCAGCAATGCCAGAAACTATCCAAAATCCAGCAGATCTTATTTCATTGAGTGTAATTCCACGTCCTTGATGTTTCACGACTTCATGATAATGCTTGATTATCAGAGTTGTAATATGATGAGACTTGGGCAATATAACAGGATGCTTCAATTCTTCAGGCAAACTTGAATCTTTCAATCTTCCTCCAATTCTCAACAATTCATCAGATCTTATACATGGATCAAGCTTGAATAATGATGATGATTTTTTTACAGTATCGAATTTCTTAGGTTTGTTCAATATTTCGATTTCATCTGGATACACTTGACACTGCATAAGTTTTAAAATTATCTTCTTAGCATCTTCCATCTCTTGTACAGTTATTGAACCAAAAGATGAAGTAAAATTCTTGTTTCTATGATTTTGAAGAATTTTCAGCCATCGGCATAAAATGACAAAAAATCTCTGAGCTTTGTATAAACTTGAAAACATTGACAATCTCTCCAAAAGACTTGGGAAAGATCGCTCTTTTACTTCAGTCAAAAATGTCACAGAATTACGTATTTCTGGATCCGAAGCATCAAGCTCTTCGAATTCATGTGAAAACTCTTTTTCCACTGTAAGTGGTTTCCACAGAAAATCAGGTCCCTTTAGATATCGATCATGTTTGGTCAGTAGATCTTTTTGGACTCAAACCTCTTGAGGCATCATCAGCTGGGTTGTTCTTTGTATCCACATAAAACCATTGATTTGGCTCACTATGATCACGAATCTCTTGAACTCGGTTTGCCACATATATGTGAAATCGACGAGAATCATTTGAAACATAACCAAGAACAACTTTACTGTCCGTCCAATATGTTTCCTTGATGTTGACAAAATTCAATTCTCGCCTCAACATGACTCCAACCCGAACAGATACAAGTGCCGCAGTCAATTCCAATTGAGGTATTGTGATAGGTTTCAATGGTGCTACTCTTAGACTTTCCCATCACGAATGAACAATGAATTTGATTTTTCTGATTGGTCAGTCTTCAATAGGTGCACTGGCCATATCCACGAGTCGATGCATCACTAAAGTGATGTAATTCAGTTTTCTTGATTTCACCAAAATTACTTGGCTTGAAACATCGTCGAATTTTTAATTCTGCAAGATGATGAAGATCATTTCTCCATCGCTCCCATCTTGGTTTCAAATTATCTGGAACGGGTTCATCCCATTTGTACTTATCACGACACAACTCCTGAAGAATTCGTTTTCCTTCTAAGACAACAGGAGCAATAAATCCGAATGGATCATAGATTGAACATACTGTTGACAGAATTCCACGTCTTGTAAAAGGACGATCTTTCAAAGTAATACGAAAAGTGAAACTGTCATCCATAATACACCATTGAACAACCAGTGCTCTTTCACCTGGTATTGGGTTACTTCCAAGATCTAAATTCTTGAACTTTGTCGAGCGATCATTCTCATCAACAGCTTGTAAAACTTCATTTTTTTTAATTAGACACTAATTTTGTCAAATTGAAACCACCTTTAGCACACATTTTCTTACTTGCTTTAATCAACGATGTTGCTTCTTCAACACTATCAACTGACTTTAAACCGTCATCAACATAGAAATTCTTTCTCATGATTTGAGCTGCATCTTCACCAAATTCTTTTTCGTAGTCATCTGCAGTTTTCTTGAGGACAAAATTACAGCACGATGGACTCGACGTAGAACCAAACACCATGACTCGCATCCTGTAACAACTAGGCTTTTTCGTGCAATCACCATTGTCCCACCACAGAAATCTGACAAAATCTCTGTCTTCTTCGTCAATTCGAACTTGATAAAACATTGATTCGATGTCTGCCATGAACGCAATTTCCTTTTCACGAAATCGAGCAAGCACTGATATCAGTGAGTCAGACAATCTCTCAGCGTACCCTTTTTCAATTGCATCTTTCATGAATGCACAGTAAAGCTCCTTAAACCTTTCATCTCTCCCAAAACGCTTCTTGATTCATTGTAAGCATCTGAGAGCTAATTGCTTGTTGTTTGAAAGCTTCACTTCTTTGTTTCGAAAAGGAAGAGACAACTCATAATGACCATCCTGTGTCATGTGAATACTTGATTGACACTTCTGCAAAAACCTACGACCTTCGATAGAAATAGGTTTGTTCGATGTACCATCAATTTCTTGCTTTTTGATATTATTCTTGTGCATGCATTCAATGAAATCTTGTTTGAAACTTCTCAAAATCATGCAAGGGTTAATGACTTCTTTAACTTGATTTATAGGTACAAATTGAGGAGATATGATGTCAGGTGTATACAGGTCATGTAATGTCACTTTGTTACAAGTTTTGGTAGCATATCCACCAACACATGCTGCATCAATCATTCCAACAACTCCCCATCCTAATGCTGTTTTAATAGCATAACTTTCTGTGTCAGCATCTGATATAATTTGCAATGGACGCAGGGCTTGCATACAATCATAGTCCGGAATTTCATCTAGATCATCTTGGAACTTTGGATACTTGTTTATAACCTTCTTGTCTATAATTTGATTACGATTTACTGGGATGGAATCTCTTGTGTAACATGAAGGCAAATTTATCTTGGGGCCATTACAACCTAAAATTTGCAAGCCCATAATCTTGTATGAATCCACCACAGTCGAGCTAGTCATAGTAGAAAGGTTCAATCTCCCCTTGAATCTATTTGATTCCAAGCTTCGTCTGACATCATCTGAAAAGAATGTGGTATCAGATTGTTCATCTAAAATTGCATAAACTTTCATTTTCTTGTTTGGTCGATCGGCACAAAGTATTCGTGTTGGTACAATTCTTGTAGTTCGAATGACTTCTCGAGCTTCTGATGCATGACAGATTATACTTTTCTTACAATCAGCATTCGGTAAACTATTTTCTTCATTTGAATCTATCTTCGTCTTGACCTTGCGAACGAATTCTTCTGAAGTTATGGCAGTAGGGTGACCTTTACCACAAGTTTTGCAAGTCTTTCTTTTGGTGCATCCTTTCGAACGATGACCTTTTCTTAGACATGCAAAGCATATGCCATTAGACTTGATATATTCGATTCGGTCATTGTAAGATTTCTTGAGAAAAGCTGTACAATCATTCAGATCATGTGATCCTTTACAACACACACACGAATCTGAGAAATGGGTAGGTTTCGACTTATCTGTTTGACGAGAACTATGAACTTCTTCGCTTGCATCAATAGAGTACAAGTGAGAACCTCTAATATAAGTCCTTCTTCTAACGGGTATATTTACAGCTTTCTTATTGTTAGCCATAAGTTCATCAAGTACTTCAGTTCCATACACAGGAAGTGTAGTTACTTTCGATATTTTCTTGACATGATCACAGAACTCAGAAAATGGTGGAAAGTATGCATGTTTTCTGTGATATTCACATGCATTTGACGACCATCTATCTCTTGCCGACTTTGGCAATTTCAGAACAAGAACTTGGATTAAATCTTCATCATCCATTTACTTCAGCAGCGTAGAATTGTTTACCAATCGCTTACAACTAGTAAGAAAATGACAAAACTCACGCATTCCTTTTCCGCCATCATTCGTAGGAATGATAGGCCATTGCTTCAGTCTTTGCTTGTAAGCTCTGGATATTGTAGCCGAGTCGCCATTGTTTGGTCGATCGGCACAAAGTATTCGTGTTGGTACAATTCTTGTAGTTCGAATGACTTCTCGAGCTTCTGATGCATGACAGATTATACTTTTCTTACAATCAGCATTCGGTAAACTATTAGTGTCGCTTTTGCTTCATTATATGCGTTTTCATCATCTATGCCCATGAAACCTTCAATAGCCTTTCTTGCATCTCCAGTCGTATACTTCAAAAGATAACGAAGACGCCTGTTAGGGTTTCGAACATTTCTTTCAATAAGATCTTCAAAATCTCCAAGCCATATAGGAAATCTCAATAAATCACCATCAAAAACTTCTGGTTCTTCATCTGGCAATGAAGCCCTTTGCTGAATATCAACAACTGTTTCAACTGGACTTTCAATCTCTGAACTACTAGCGCCATCTACCGATGGGTTTTGTGGTGCAGTAGACAAATTCAATAGATTTGAAACAATGTTTTCAACAGTGTTCGAATAAGCAGGATTTGCATTCATATTATTTGTAACAAATGGTACAGCGGTATTATCAGGTGCCGGTACCAAATTTTCATTCGTTAAAGCAGTTTGTTCAGCTGTATGATGCGGACTTACTACAAAAGGTTCATTCGGTACAAATTGTGTCACATCACGTCTACTAAAGCTATCATTTTCACAATCAATTTGAGCAAAAATATTCTCTTCTGCTTCTGCTTTAGTAATTTCCTTTTGCAGATTCATTCTTCTCTTGTCAGCTTGTAACTGTATTTCAGCTTGTCGTACATTTGCTTGAAGCCTTACAGCTTCAACTTTGAGTTTTGCTTCTGCTTGTGCTAATTCTGATTTCAATTTATCCTCTCCTCTTGCAATTTTCATTTCAGTTTCAGCAAAACTAGCTTCTGCTTTTATTGAGGCTTTCTTGGCAGCTATTTCAGCTAGCTTATATACCACAGATGAACTTGATGATGAAGAACATGATCTACGAGAATATCTTGAAATACTGGTATGTGCAGAACTGACATCTTTATCATTCTCCATGTTTCTAATTGCTTCAATGCTTTAGCACGTAATTCTTCAAACAAATGTTGAGCATTTATGAAAATATCATTTTCCTCACTTGTAGCATTGGCATCAACCAGCAATGCATATATACTCCTTGTGTGCTGTACGATAGCCATGAAAACATAATTCAAAGGTTTTCAAATCGTCTTTAATAGTACGCAATGAGGCGCCATCTTCTATACTTCTAATGAGCTTCATTCTTATTTTTGAAAACAATTCAAATTTCGACTTACACCTTCCCAGAAGCATTTTAACTTGATATTATTGTCCTTTTTCTGTAAGTGTTCTGCTACGTTCAGACCTTCTGAGATTTTCTCTCATATCATTACCAGAATTAGAGCCCATGTCATCACTTGCATTTGTAGATCTTGCTGTAGCCATGATTTATAATGAATATTCCTTTTTCTTGGTATAAATATCCTGTATTCACTGATAGGATGAAGTTTCGCCAAATTACAATAACATGTTTATTGATCATCAATATTCTGATATTGTTCTACTGACTTGCTTAGTAGATCTTGAAATCTTTTACCAACTTGTTTGTAATAGTGTAAATTCGTTTACTAACTTGTTTAGCAAAGCTCAAATCGTTTACTAACTTGGTTGGTAAAGCTAAAATCGTTTACTATTACGGCCGCTGTTCACGATGCTACGAATCTAACAGTCTATTTAACCCTTTTGTCGCAGACTCGCAGTCGTTCCGCCGTGTAGGTATAACCGTCGTTTAACTCACTGCTGCACTCACTGAAACCTGGAGACCCCAAGAAACTGTCCAACACAATGTTTTGATGTTACTTCCAAATCGTGTTAAAATGACAGGATGAAATAGATGTTATAAAGCGTTCCAAAATAGTGTCTCAATGAACTGATGAAGTGTTCCAATATAAAGTTTCAATAAATTGAAGAAGTGTGTAAACTGCAATTGAAATAAGAGTAAAACTTATAAGCAAAACACAATAGTGATAACCTAAAAAGTACCAGAGACATTGGCAAAATACAGTATAGGCCACCGGTACTTGATCACACGATAAAGAAGGCATGAATAACTCATGAATAAAGAGCAGACAATAACTTGTCCACACAGTGTTTTACTTATTCTATACTAATATGAATTTGCAATGAAAATCATATATTAAGCAAGTAGGAACACTCAGCAAATGAATTCCTAAATACAGAAATATCTTCAGATAAAATATGACTTACCGATTTTTTCGGCTAATAATATCACAAACAAGCAGGTACTTCAATATTTAACATTTAAACAATCTTAACTGTATGGAAAAAGAATAATATTTTAGACAAAATCAGAGAAGCACAAACCCTGTCAGCCTGTTCAACAAAATCCTGGAAATGGCGCAACCACGAGACAAACTTGCGCAACAATCTAAAGTACCACAAGGAGGCGACAAAGGGCAATAAATAAAATGACGGCTGAGCCATCATTTACGCACACATCTACAAAATTTTTATTATTTACATTTTTATTTTGTCATAATTACTAATAAGGGTATAGATACACACAACTACAAAATTTTTATCGTTTTTATTTCTATTTTGTCATAATGAATAATAGGGCTATATATACACACAACTACAGCATTTTTATTGTTTTTTATTTTGTCAGAATGAAACATAGGGCTATAGATACACACATCTACAAAATTTTTATTGTTTTTTATTTTTATTTTGTAACAATGAAACATAGGGATATAAATACACACATCTTACAAAATTTTTATTAATTTTTATTTTTATTTTGTAATAATGAAACATAGGGATATAGATACACACATCCACAAAATTTTATTGTTTTCTATTTTTATTTTGTAATATTGAAACATAGGGATATAGATACACACATCTACGAAATTTTCATTATTATTTTTGCGTTTTGTTATAGGATGACACATAGGGCTATAAATACACATGTCTACATTTTTTTTTTCAATTCTGCCATAATGATGATACGATATGCTAAGTGAAGTGAACCAGTCAGTTACGATGTAAACATTGCCATAAAATTTTATACCTAATTACCACGTTAACTAAGTACCGTGTGAAAATTTGAGAAATTATTTGAGTTATTCAAAACAGCAAATATTTACGTGAGCAAGTATTAAAGTGCATGGGAATTCTCGAAATTTGTTTCACAAATTCATGTTTATACAGTAATATTACCATGATTTACACAATACTATTCAGCAATTTTGTTCATCGACTTTTCGATGATATTCGATTAACCTGAAATCAGTTCATTTTGAAATTAGTACAGTTTATTATATTCCATTTATCTGATTAGGAAGTAATCGAATGAATTCTTTAAAACAATGGTCATACTCCATTCCAAACCAAATTTTAAATTCTTTCTGTTTTCTCAATTCTTTTTTCCAAGCAACAAACGGTACTCCGAGGACAAAAATCATAATTCTATCCATCTATTACATTTGATTCAATCCATAGAACTATATAATTTTGCATATACGTTCTAACTTAGAATGAGAATTAGGTAAAAAGTTCGAGGGCAAAATGCTATATTTATTACCAGAAAAATGTCTCAATTCTTTTTTTCAAGCAACAAACGGTTAATCCGATGACAAAACTTATAATTCTATCTATCTATTCCATTTGATTCAATCCATAGAACTATATAATTTTGCATATATGCTTTAACTTAAAGTGAGAATCAGGTAAAAAGTTCGAGGGAAAAGTGCTTTATTTATTACCAGAAAAATGTCTGCCAGAAAACATTAAAATCGATAATCTGTGACATGAAATAGAAATGTTCATCAAAAAATATTTGAACGTCATGTCTTTTAGTTAGTTTCTATGCTTCCATAATCTGACGGAAAAAACATAAATTTTGTTGTCGTTCTTTTTAAACACTGGTTTCGCATCGAATTGGGGTTTGAATTTCTGAAAACAAAAAAACAATTAATTCACGGCGTGGTTTGGGAGTAGCTTTAGATAGACGACGGAGTAACATTTTGTAGAAAATGAGTGTAAACGTATAAATCAATTTTCATACGGTTTTTGATTCCATGTCGATATGGCCTAATCCAATAATCTCATCGTGACACAGAAAAACTTGTTAAAATTGTTTTGAAATTGTATAGAAAAAAGTGAATAAATATTTATTGGCAATACCTTCCACTCTTTGTAATGGCGTTGTTAAATTTTTCTTCTGTTGAATCGAACTTCTCCGAACATCTATCTTATTACTACTTGGTTTCTTCGCATCTGTGAAATAACAGTCATTTCCCAATTCATTCACATTCTTTCATTTGACACTTTTGAAGCAACAGAGAGTCTATCACACTTCATTCAGCAATATTACCGTACAAGATAATGAAAAATACAAAAATGGCGTAGAAACCCTTAAGTACTAAATGCCGCAGCAATGCTTAGCAGGATTCGTGGACTGAAGATCGATTACATGCATGTTCACTTCTTGAATAATAATGACTTTCTTATTCTTTATGGATAAAAAGGCCGACAAAATGGCTTAATCGTAATCTTTTCCGGTTACCAGTCCGTATTGGAAATGGGATTAGATAGCGAGGTATTTGTTTCCAGATCCATGGCCTCGATGGTGGAGAAAGACGTAACCGATCGGCATATACGTAAACCACCCTACGGCGGCGAATATTCCTCTCCACATAATTATCTCCCAACTGATTGGAACCCACAATCTGTAGCAAGCGTATTTCTATCGTTCAGAACAATGCGCCACATCGCTTGTATCTGATGTCTAAATCCTATTAATCTTCATCTATCACCCGCGGTAGCCACGTAATAAATACAGCCTCA